ATTTTCTCAATATCATTCCGGAATTCACAATCTGATTGGCGAACGACAGAAACTGATAATAAAGATAACTCAGCCTCTTTTTCTAATTGAAACTAATTTAATAATTTTAATATTAGTCTTTGTTCATTCTCGGTATATCTCGGAATATTTAAAATATTTTTATGACAATAAATACAAAATTTAATTTTCACTGTAGGTAAAATGTCTGAAAATACTAACCTGGAACGGCAATTATCATTTTATCAGTTGACATTGTGAAAGTACTGTCACTGTCATTATCAAGATCATCTATGTCAAATTATATTTATATGCATAATTGATTGGATATCTATTTAGCGTATTCTAAACTCCAACCAAGTATACGTTCGTAAGTAGAATCCGCTTTAATATGCGAATACCCGTGACCGATACCTAATTTTCTAAGTTCTATGTATAATAATCAGGGACTCACGTTTTTTTCTGACACTTCTAGCTTAATGCGTTAGAGAGAATTCGAACAACTATGACGCACTGAAAGAAGGGTTTGGGACGGGCTGTATACAATATAATATATTGAAAATTTTAATCAGTTCACAAATATGTTTTTAAAGTTTGTCAATGAATATGCTTGTTGCATTGATCAATTACATTATTGCTCACAGTATTGCTGTTGCTTATTTGTAATAAACAAACACATTTAACTACATTTTCCGCAGATAAAGTTTTTGTTTCATTAGTAGGTAAGTTGTCTACGGGAAAATAGTCGCATTACGTAATGTGCTAACGGATAATCTTCATTTCCAATTAAGAAATAAGGAAATTTTACATCGGAGTCAGGTAGTAATGTTTCATCAGGTAAACTAAATTTATTATTTTTTAGTAAGTTGTAAGTTTCTGACGAGTTAAAAATTCCACCATCACTTTGTTTACCATAAGCTCCAACCTCAATAATAATAAATTTATAATTGGGATCAGCAACAGCTTGCAATACAAATGAAAAATATTGTTTGTAATTATAAAACATCAATCCGCTCTGGGCAAGACATTTAATTCGGATGTGTTTACCATCAATAGCACCCACACAGTGAGGTAGATTCCATCTTTTCCAATATTGTACAGCGGAATGCATCAACAGTTCTTCTATAGGGATAGGCATGTGTTTCTTAAGAAAACTTTCCATATTGCTAAACAAAGTTCTTATACTATCTTTGCAACTATCGAGACTCCTAAACGAAAAGTGAATGCTAAACTTCTATAAGACATCCCAATGGCAAGGAATCTGAAAAAAATATTTTGTAGATAGATCATGAAACAAAAACCGCGTAGTAATATGTCTTTTATTAAACAATTTGCTTTCTTTTAGAAAATGTAGCTAAAAACGGTGGAAAACTCTAAAGGATATATTTAGGGACGAACTGAAAAATATTCCAAAACCTAAATCGGGAGATGACACACCTCTTCTTTTGCATCATCTTGGCCCCATTTTAAAAGTTTAATTTTCTTAAAAGATTTAATGGCATGTCGCAACATGACTGGCAATCTACCATCACCTGAAGAAAATGGTATGATGTCAGAATATTCACAACGATTCACTTAATGATGACCATGACCTGCTACCACAAAAATGTGGGATTCTAACTGATGAATATACTGCAGATTATAATATATCACAGGCTGAAATTAATACGGGAACTTGAACTTCCAACGACAATACTTCATTAGATAACGAAGAACCCCAACCTAGAAGCGCTCCAAAACTAATAACCAAGGGCGTAAACATAAAACAGATAATTTGGATATCGAGCGATTCATATCTTCGGAAGAAAAAAAATTAGAGTTACTAGACTTTGCAACTAACTCAAAATATAATGATGATGAAGATTATCATTTTTTAATGAGTTTCTGCCCACCTTTAAAAAGAATGCGTGAGGACACTAAAATGTGGTTCCTTTGGAAGATGCAAGACTTCTGTATAATTGTACTGTTCACAACCAACAACATGAACAATCCTATATGAGTACAGTTGCAGAGATTCCGTTTGGTTCACCTACGTCAGATTCCACCCTATCTGATTTACAACTATAAAAATGTGTACGTATATTAATAAAACGGTACTCTATTATTCTTGTGTATTTTTTACACGCATTATAACAGTTGCGCCATTGAGAGACTATATTAGATAGACACCCCACTTTTTATAAGTATTTCCCAATGAAATCTAATTAGTTCTAAGAAAGTTTCTAACCTTGAAGTGTGATCGTGTGCAAACGGGACTCCCTGTATTTTTTTTTGGTAGATTTATGAAAATATTCGATGTACTATTTTAATATTCAAACTTACCTTAAAGTTATTGTAAGCCGTTCTTTAACGCCCATTGGTTTCCTCCAGTTTGTGTCCATTTTCTCTACGTAAGGAGTTATACCTCTCTAAATGTAGTCGAATATTTCTAAAGACATCCGAAAATATTCTCGAAACTTATCAGGATGCATAATTAGTTTAGCAAATAAACGATGAAACTCTCCAAATGTCGCCCTTTCTCTATTAATTTTATGAACCCATTTACGTTTTCTATTTAAATACTTTTTGAAAATATTGTACTTTAACAATGAATGTCCGACACAGAAAAGACTACGGTGGAGACTACGTGACTAGCTCACAAGTCTTCTTCTTCTTCAAGTGCCCTGTCCGTTGCGAACGTTGGCTATTAACATGGCAATTCTGATCTTGTTTGCGGCGCTTCTGAATAGTTCGACCGATGTGAGCCCGAACCACTTCCGCAGATTTTGATGCCACGAGTGTCTTCTCCTGCCTGGCCCTCGCTTACTGTCTATTTTTTCCCTGTACAATCAATTGCAGTAGACGGTACTTATCGTGTCTCAATATGTGGCCTAGATATTCAAGTTTTCTTTGTTTAATTGTATTCACGATTTCTTTCTTCTTTCCGATTGTTTGGATTACTTCTATGTTGGTGACATGTTCGGTCCAGGATATATGAAGAATGCGTCGGTACACCCATATTTCGAATGCTTCTAATTTTCTCGTGAGCGTCTCCGTCAGCGTTCAGGCCTCCACACCATACAGTAAGATTGGAAAAATCGTTTTCGAAAAAAAAATCGCATTTAACTAGACGTAGTTTTAGGGGAAGAGACAAATCCTTGCTTATGAGGAGCTTTTTCATATTGCTAATGCTGCTCTAGCTCGTTCTATTCTCGCCTTAATTTCTGTGGCCCGTTCCCATTTTGCATTTACGTTGGTGCCAAGGTACACATAAGATTCTACATGATCAATTAGTATGTTACTTATCCGTAATTGTCAAGCAGGTTGTTGCTTTTTGCTTATTAGCATCTACTTTGTCTTCTTGAAGTTGAGGCTCAGGCCGTATTCCTCACTAACTGAATAAATTCTTTCCTTTGCATCTTCTATCTCCGATTTAAGGATTGAAGGTCCTATTTCTCCTTCTCCATATAGGTGATCATTAGTCCTGTCAGATGCAAATAATTTTTCTATGTATGATTTCCATGTTTCTAAGATAGTTGATGGCTCCGAGATAAGATTCCCATCGCTATGTTGTTAAGCGACTTATTGAATTTCCTCTTGTTTGTTATTGATTTTATTTTTTTGTGCATATTGTAACTGTCGTATTTTCGTTCGTATTGTTCTATTTGCCTGCATTCGTTAGAAAACCATTTTTCTTTGGCTTCTCGAATTTTCGTTCTTATGATTTTGTAGATCTGCTGGTATTTTTCTGCATTTTTATTCTTGAATTTACGTCTTTCATCCATCATATCCATTATCTCATCAGACATCCATTCTTTCTTCTTCCGTCTGTCACGCTTTAATAGAGTCGCACGTGTTGTTTGGATTGCTTCCTTCGATTTATCCCATCTCTCTATTATGTCCGACGTGCTCTCGTTAATGTCGTTTATTTCCTTTCCTAGTCGTACTTTTATTTCGGTTTCTGGGTTAGTGAGTTTCTTAATATCAATTGTGTTTAAATTAGATCTTTTCTCGAGCCGTTTTACTCTCATGACCATTCTGCATACCAACAGATTGTGGTCCGTAGGAACATCGGCACCTAGGTACGTTTTTGATGATTTTATCATGTTTTTATATCTTGTTGGTACTGCTATATAATCTATCTGATTCCTTATGATGTTATCAGATGAGTCAGCGGGAGATTTCCATGTGTAAAGTCGACGTTTGGGGAGCTTGAAGAGTGTATTACTTAACAGCAGGTTATATTTCTGGCAGAAGCATATAAGTCTATCACCTCTATCGTTTCTCTCCCCTAGGCCGAAATTTCCCACAATCTCATTCACCTTGCCTCCGCCAACCTTTGCCTTGAAATCTCCCATCACTATTGTTACTTCATGTTTTTTTTGTCATTTTCATCAGGCTTCCCAGTTGTTCATAGAATTCTTCGCTGGTTGCCTTATCTTTATCTGCCGTTGGCGCTTATACCTGTAATATGTTAATATCCACGGGTGTTGCTCAAATTTGTAAAAGCATTATTCTATCTGAATGGGGAGTGAATTTTACTGCCGGGGATTTTACTGCCGAATTAATATGTGGTGCAACAATTTGTTTCCAGCATAGTAAACTTTATATTCAAGTATATCGCATTGTCCAGAGTTTTGCCAGTGTGTTTCACTAATTCCCAATATATTAATTTTTAATCTTTTCATCTCTTTTACAGTGTCACAATGCATGGTACAACGAAAAGACAATGTCTTTTCTTTGTATCAGGCTCACGAAGTATATCATTGTATTGAAACACCCACAAATAATAGCTTGCTAGGTAACGCATAGCACAGCAAAGCATCGCATCGGTGATAGCGACATAGCAGTCTAAGATTCTAAGATTTAACTAAGATTATCAAAAATATATTATATGTAAAGACAGAAAATTGTAGCAAATCATGTTTTGAAATGTTTTAAAAACCAAAGTATCTTGTGTTGCCTATGTCAGACAATTAGTTGTCAAGATGTCAAGAGCAGTGGGTGTTTTTAATTTTGACAGTCACAACTTCGATTCGAATGTAAATAAGGATAATAATACATTTAATTTTGGAATAAAAGTGTAATTGTATAAAAAATTTATTTCAAAACACCAATGGAGCCTACAACTTTTTGCGGAGCTTGTGACACCCACGTTTGGTATGAAAATCATGAATTGAAAGCAGGGGAACAAATTAAACTTTTTAATATTGATGGTGAAGATACACGAACGGTTTGGTTGGATATGAGGAATTGTTCAGGTAAGAATAATTACATTATACAATGTTAATACATAATTAGATAATGCTATGTTCAAAAAAACTAACTACAAAGTATATTTCTGTTGCCATCATCATCCCCATTAGTAGTGTTAAAACGAAACTTCATTTATTTAAAGTAATTCCAAATGATTTTTATTTTACATTGTTAATAACAAATAAAACAAACATATATGTATCCACTTAAACAGATTTTTCTTTTTAAAATTATTCACACAAACCCTGAAACCTACTAAAATCTATGGATAAGTTTTATATGTCATTTTTTACTGATGTATAAATTTTTATCAAATTAATCAACACTTTACAGGTACCTTGGATTCAGCCTCATTTTCATTGCTGCCAAGCATTGAATACCTCAGCTTGACTAAATGCAATATAGAAAGTTGTTCTGGGGCATTTTCAGAGTTAGAAAAACTGACTTCATTGGACTTCAACAAAACTTCTTTTCCTCTCGAATCAGAAACATTTAAAGATAATAAGGGAATAACAAATTTATATATAAATGGAATAGAAAATCCAAAATCTTCATGTTTTCAGCATTTAGATAAATTATAAACTCTAACATTTGAATCATGTAATTTTGATGTCATAAATTCTGATATACTTGCAGGTTTGATTTCATTGAAAAATTTGACTTTAGAACATTGTACAATAGGCTCTATTGATGTTGATGCACTTTGTAATTTAAAAAGTCTAGAAGGTATCAATATTAGAGACAGTGAGATATCTGAAATAAACTTGGATACTTTTGCTAAACTAGAAAATATTAAATTTCTTTCACTCCATCATAACAATATTCAATCTGATTTAAACTACAATGTTTTTGAGCAGCTTAAAACACTTGAAACTATTCACTTTGATACTAATATATATTATACATTAAATTTTGATAATTTTCCATCTTTGCACAATGTTAGAATTGGATACAAAGATGATGGAGATGAACCAGATCTAGAAGAATTAATTGCAAGATTAAATGCTAAAGATATAAAAACTGAATATATTTTTTGTGGAACAGTAGATTGTGATACTGATGATATTGAAGAATGCTGCTGAATGTATTAGAATATTCTAATTTGATGGAAAAATTTAACCAGGCAGAATTTTTCTTGAGTGAAATCAAAAAGAATGCAGAAGTATGCACTAACACATATTTATTGGAACCTTGAAATTAATTGAAGGCTTTTAGAATACTAAAAATTACAGTAGATAGCATAAATATGCATTGCAAAAAGTCTATGAGCACCAAAGCACCAGAATATAAAAAGGAATAATATATTTTAAATACATGATTAAAATGTTTCTTAATGCACATTGGCACTTTGCCCACAAAATAATTTAGTATTATTTTAGGCACTTACATTCCATTTACAGAAGTAATTTAAAATTTTAGTGCTTTCCAAAATAAAAAAAAAATAAAAACTGAATCAGATTTGAATGAAGTTTTAGTGCAAATACTGATTCATACCTAGGACAAGACCAAAACTTTGTTATTATTTTGTATTTTATATTCAGAATACTCAGTTATTAGGTAGGCTCCATAGATTATGATATCACTTATAATGTCATGCTAGCTAATGTATTATTGAATATCTCTAAAAGAATAAGCAAACGAATACTTAACCATATCTGAAATCATTAGTAGTAAACTAAGAATGAACAGACTACATTAGTGCCCAGCAGGAACTAGAAGATTTATTGGGAAGAAGCAAAGATTATTTTGCCACCCAGGTTATGTGCTTCCATGTCCTGCCTTATTTCTGGGCCTGGTTTTGCAAACCCTTAATTACAACCCTTTGCAATAATGCAAATATTTAAATTCTCAAAATATATGAAGCTTTAATTTTCTTAGTTAGATATAGTAATTTATAGTGCATCAAATTTATAGAAATCAAAAGGTTAAAGAAAGTACCATTATATAATATAATCAATTGTTAAAAATAAATGAATCAAAAATATTACATGTTTATATATTTTCTGGCCCCTTCTGTAGTACATATAGAGAGTATTTCAAATCCAGTGGTGAGCACTTCCATGAAATAGTTATATATTGCGCAGACAATAGAGCTATGCAATGGCGTTACAATATTAAACAATTTGATTGTTTTATCGGTACCAAAGTTTTTAGTCAACTCAACAGCTTAGTAAAAATATTCAGTACTGACAGTGTTAAAATATGAACGTTTCTGATCTTTTTTTTTCCAAATATTATACAGCAGGCGGGTTAAAAATTTAACAGAAGGTATAATATCATCTTTAATTGATAGTCTATGAAGTTTGATAAAAGTTGCCAAATAAATGATACTGAATTAAATTTTTTTAATTCAGTATCGTTTACCTTTAAACTGTAATTATAAAGTCATTATGAATTTTTAATTTAGTATTGGTTGCCTTAAAACCCTCATTATGAATTTTTAAATTAGTATCAGTTACCTCAAAACCGTAATTATAAAATCATTATGAATGACTCCTTGACTACTTATTGAGTACATACAAAAAACTGATAAGAAATATTTCAGAGAATTTCTAGTCAATGGATTTAAAATGTGCTCGTAATTTAGTCTCAAAAAGAAAGGTGCTAACACACCTATTAGAACTATTTTGTAAAATGGAGATGGTTAAGTGTAGTATGAGTAAACAGATCAGATTGACACCAGAATCCAAAAGAATAGTTTCCAATGTATTTAAATAGATATAAAAATACTATATCGTGAAGATAATCAAACCAATATTAAACAACATGTGAGAGAAGCTACTGGAGTATCTTTACATACAGTAGAAAGGATCATTCAGCAGGCGAATATGTTAACAAACACAGAGTAAAATAATGCACTAAAATTTTCAATCACAACACTTGCTAAAAGTAAAGCAACTGTGACAGAGTTAAGGGAGTATGATAAGCAGTTCATTAGAAGTACCATTCATCATTTTCGTGAGACTGAACGTTGTCGTGTATCATTGAAGCTTTTGCAAAAAAGGCTTGAAGATGTGTACATGTGTATTGAAGACGTGTATATATATTATAAATATAATCGACATTTATTAATTGAACGGAATGGCATTCGTGCTCTATGCATTAAGTATTTGGACAAAATTAAATAAATAAGTCAATTGTATATGTTGATAAAACCTATGTACATGTAGGACACACTACGCCAAATAGCTGGACAGATGACAGTGGCAAAATATTGTTCAAAAATATTTCAAAAGGAAGTAGGTTGGTGATTGCACATGGTGCTGGTGAGATGGGTTTCATACAGAATACAGTTTTTGTTTTTATATTGGCAGCCAAAATAGGAGGTTATCCTGTTGATATTAATTTAGAAAATTACGAAAAATGGATGAAAGAACAGTAAAGGTCGCTTCAAACACATCAGTCCCGGCGCCGAACCGGTTCTGTTTGGTCACAGAACTATTAATTATCTGACAGCTGGAAAACTGTTCGTCAACTGATGAATGTGAATTCCGGCGGCATATTTCTATTAAAGAATATTTTGTAAAACGGATTGTTCGGTTAAGCGCCGGGACTGTGACGAGACGTGACTGATGTGTTTGAATCGACCTTTAATCCCCAATGTACCTGTAAATATATAAATATATTAAAAAAAAACGGATATGATATCTAAAAAAAATTGCCATTTGTAACGTTAACGTTACAACCGCAATCATATGAAATCATCAAACGACACAAACAAGATCGTATTCAATATTAATTTGTCAAAAGGTCTGCACGAATGTGGGAATGTTTTTTTAAAACATTCGCCATATCTTCCAGACTTGAACCCTATAGAAATGGTTTGGGCGCAAATAAACAATGGAGTTGCAAAACAAAATGTTTATTTTAAGTTAGAAGACGTAAAAGTGTCGGTGGAACAGGAATTTGCTAGAGTAACTGCAGAAAACTAAAGAAAGTGTGTGAACATGTTGTCAAGGTTGAAGATAAATATTTGGAAAATGAACGTCGCTAAATGCAATTACTGAAGAATTAAGAATTGATTTAAATGATTCTAGCGGCGACGACAGTGCATCTGATTATGAAAGTGAATATGTATATGAATATAAGTTTTCAAAACTCTCGAATATGTATGTTCTTAAGTTAAACCAATCTTTGTAATTAACATTTATTAATGTGATTTAAATCGATAAGTATTTTTGGAACCCCACTGCTTTAGTTATACCGTTTATCGAGCTAAAATCATCCTGTACAGGATGATATTAGCTGGATAAACGCGACATTGCAACTAAACTGCCAAACCCAATGAAGTGACAGGTAGTACCAGAAGGCTTACATCTTATATTAACTTTCCCTTTTCGTTTATTAACTATATTTTATAAACTGAAAATCATAAATCATCATCCTCATTCTGGCTTTACAACCCTACGTGGGTCCTAGCCTCCTCAAGAATTGCTCTTCAGTCATCCCTATCCATCACCTTTCTCCGCCAAGCACGTATTGTATTCCCATATTTCTCAGGTCTTCATCGATGTTATCAAGGAACCTTGTTCTGGGTCTTCCTCTTCTTATCTGACCAATAGGTCTATCAAGGAGCGTTTCTCTAGCTGGATCATTTTGTTCCATCCGCATTACATGTCCTATTCAGACGACCTATCCTAATATGTTTTACGTTATTAGGTTGTTCCATTGTTATTCACTGCTCCATAGATTCGCCTTAGTACTTTTCTTTCGAAACATCCTAACATGTTTTCATTATGTTTTGTTAGAGTCCAGGTCCTGGACCATATGTTAGGACTGGGCGTATTATTGTTTTGTAGAGTTTTATTTTTGTATTTCTCGACATACTTAATTGTGGTTTTAAGGAGATTAAGCCTAAAATAGCATCTGTTGGCTCTGCAAACTCTGAGGTAATAAAAAGGTAATAAATAAGTCAAGTGTCATAAAATGTATGGCGCCTTTTTGTGTCTGTTACATTACGCCTAATATAAAATAAAATTAATTCTTAACACATTTTCCAAACATTATTTAAAGAACCTAACAGTTTTCTATAACGAGTCGTTGTATAATTTGTGGTTGCGTGCTTATTTTCATATACTTCGTTTTGTGGGTGTTTATAATTAAACCCATTTTTGTAGCCTACATACGCCTCTTGTACAGCGTTTTCCGTTCTTCCAACAGTATTGTAGCGAGATTAAATAAAACGAGCGGTTCGAATTTATATAAATATATTTATTTATAAGTTTACAGTTCAGTACTATCTTATCAACTCCACTCATAACATCGTTACATATATATACCAAAAGTATTATTATTCTAGAATCTTCTTAAGTAGTCCCACCTCTAATTCCTTGTTCGATGGGAAGATTCTCGATGCCCGTTTGAGATGCAACCGTTACATGGGCCATGCCGAAAGCATGTTCGTAACAATATTGATATCATCAGCTTAGACCAGGATTTGCACAGATTTATTATATATTTAACCAGTGGTTGTGATTTGTGACATATGTATTACTTTTTCCAGAGCCAGATTGAACAGTATACAGGAGAGAGGGTCTCCCTGACGCAGCCCGTTGTTTTAAATGGTTCAGCCAGTTCCCCCTGAATTTATACTCTTACATTTAACTTTTTCAAGAATTAGTTTTGTTAAATTTGCCAACTGATTTGGTATTCCTAGCTCTTGCATTGCTTTGAACATTTCTCTTCTATTCACAGAGTAGTAGGCTGCTTTGTAGTCTATAAATATGTGAAGAGAATGCCATATTCCAGCGTTTTTTCCAAAATTTGTTTCAGGGTTGCAATATGACGAATTGTAGATTTACCACCTCTGAAACCAGCCTGGTATTTTCCTACTATCCATTCTGCACATGGTGCCATAGTACTGTGGAAAATATTTTATACGCTGCATTTAGAAGCGTAATTTATGAATAAGATCAATTTTTGTATTAGTTCTATATTTTTCACCATTGGGGCAACTTGAGACTATTTGTTTCAAAGTGCCCCTCGACGAGTCCAAACTACCCCACCGTGGGGCATATTGGGAAAATGATTTATGTAATTTTATTTGTTTTCTTTTTCATAAACTTATATATTTATATGTGGTACACAAAAAATAATATCCTGAAATATCATTCTATTTCCATTTTTGCTAGACTTGCTAATACAAACAGTACCAAAATATAAGCTCCTATAATAAGTGTACCAAACTAGTCCACCATACTCTACTGTTGCTATAGTTGGGTTCGATGTGGCCTTGATACAAGAGATCTGTGGATATACAAAAGCCAAATAAAAGATCTGTCAAGTGTTGACAAAGAGCTTACATAGAGCAGGCCTAGGACTTGTATGTATAATAGTCAATGGATGATGTACAACCTATCCTAGTGCTGACACTGGATCTTACTAAGTACCTAGAATCAGCAAATACTGTGAGAGCAGGTGTTTGTTCTTTTTAATGTTAAGTAGTAAAGGGAGAATAACAACACATCTTTACTTAACAAAGTCTATGTTTATTTTAATTTGTTAATCAAATGTAAAGTGGATTATTCAAATCACTGTATTGCTAACTCAGCAGAGTGTGGACTTAATAATCCTGACACTTTACATTTAGAAATATAAACAATAAGTACATTTTTGTATAATACACAATCTTGACTAAAATATATTTTTTTATATTATTTAATCCTAATCTACCATTTACTGATTTTTTTCCAAATACTTCCCATTATCACACTACAATGTGTGTTCAACTAAAAGTGATATGAAAAAAACCAAACAATATAAAGTTAACACCTAACACATAAAAGCAAAATGACATAGTAAAACAAAAATTTAATAAAAATTCAACTAAAATGGGTCTAAAAAATACAGATGACACACAATATTATTGAAAACACATGTAACGAACTTAAAATTGCAGCAATCAAAGTTACAGTCAAGAATTAAAAAAAATACAAAATTGTGTTGAAATAATTGTAGACCACAAAAATCCTAGACCTAAGTAGTGAAAGGAGATGTAAGAATAAAAAAAAACAATTAATAAACAAATAAAACAAAAAGATTTCATGAAGAGGATATTATGGAACAGTAATTTAAATAAATTGAGATCAATTAAGAAATACATGAGGCTAATTTGAAAAGAATACTAAAATCATTTACAGGTACTGCACAATATTATCAAAGAATATACACATATGCACCTATATTCTTTGATATTATTGACATCAATGATGAATTTATCAGTGATTTAGGTGAAAATTTGAAGGAATGGAAAGGGTGTATTTAACATACATGCATTCTATCAGGACAAGCAGATCACTCAGCATTCAGGCAGTAGATGGCAATAAAGTTACACAGTCCCAATAGTGGAGCATGAAGATAAAGACTTCAGATTCCTTTTGTCAATCCACATACAATCCATGAAGAACAGGATAGGATTATAACCTTTTCTAATGCCTTATTTACAAAATAACAGTATGTAATTTAAATAAATAAACAAATGTACTTTATTTATATATACTATTACATAACATATTATACAAAACAATATAAATATGAAGTTTTTACTAGCACATTATAATTAGAGTATTTTTTTTTTCATTAACTGGACATGTGATTTCCAAAAACATGCATGTATTTTGAGTTTTTGTAGTAACCTAATGTGAGTTATTTTAAATATTTCACTATAAGCTAGTCTTGATGAGGGGAATAAAATTTTGTAGATAAAATTGGTGAAATAGGATCTCCAAATCTTTCTGTGAATGAATCTTTGTGGCTCTTAGATCTCATTTCAATAGCTTTATCATAAAATCTTGATAATTTGACAGCATTAGAAGTACCTGCTGCTAAATATCGGGTTTGTCTACAGTCCATTAAAATTTCATCACATCCTAAATGGCTAGCCATGTGTTCAATACGAGTTTTGCGATCATCAACCTGATCCAATTTGGTTCCTAAAATGAATAAGTTATATTATGTGTATGTAAAGAATATATATCTACAATAGATTATGCAAGCAAAAGAACAAAAGTAATTGGAATATAAACGGTAAAAAAACAATATTCATGACAAAAATTTTGATAAAACTTACCTATTACAATATAAGGTATTGATGTATTTCCTATAAAGCTTTCTTGGTCGAAATCGTCGCCTAATAACGCTGGCATAACAGGATTTGCTACACTATTAGAATCTTTTCTTTCCCTTCTATTTACACTAATTTCTCTAACCCATTTGTGTAAATTTTTTTCCGATTTTCGGTTTGTCAAATCATGTACTAGTATGGCACCATGAAAAGGATTGTAAAATACAGGCCGTGCGTTTCTATGTGAATGACTACCCCCTATATCCCAAAATTCAACAAAAAACGTCTTTTGGTCCTTCATGCCCTCTTTATATTCGTGTAACTTCACATCTACTGAACAGCCAACAGTCCAACTAGGTGATCGAAGGGGTTCATTATGAGCTGCCAAATGAACGAAAGATGTTTTACCAACGCCAGAATCGCCTAATACTAGAATTCTAACCCTGTCTATGACTGACATTTTGTCGAAAATTCGGTAAATATTATGATGTTATAACAATAAACTTGTAAACTTATTGTTTTATTTCAACGAATAACCGCGCATTCTACGTGTCAACCGTCAATTATGTGTCAGTAGTGTGAGAGTGATTGTAATCACTTGTGATGAGACCAATGACGCACGGTAACGGTCTACGAACCGTGACTTTTGCCAATAATAAATAAAATTAATCAAAATGTACATTTTAGCTTTCCCCTTTATATTTAAAGCATTCAACATAACATTATAAAAACATGCCAACTCTACCAAACCGAAATATGTTGTTCCAAGGACATAGTTGACATTGCGGTTATCATCAGCAGGATGCGAGCCCACAAATAAAGAAAGAAGAAGAAGAAGCTAGAACTTTCTGTCGTTTCCGTTAAATCAAAGAATATCAAAATATCATAGGCTAAATAAAAAATTAATTTGTCTAAAATTAAATCAAATAATATATTTAACCGGATTTTGTATTGTATGGTAATTTCGCTCACAATAAGTAAAATAACTGGGCATTTCGCAATTGCGGGCACTCTAACTTAACCAAGCATTTATATGACATTTAACGTTCCCTTAAATGGTGTCAGAGTTGCCAAGTCTCCAGTTTTTTCATACTCTCACATAATATTATACAAAAATGTTGATTAAAGTGATATATAAAAAATTAATAGTATACATTTTAGTTAAATTAAAGATAATAATCAAATGCATATACAATAAAATTGATTAAAATTATATAAAAAATTAATAGTAATAATTAAATTACCGTATATAATAGAAATGCATTGAAATTATATAAAAATTCAAAGATTTTACAAAATATTTGTTTTATAAGAAACAAACTTTTTTTTATAAGAAATTTGTTTTTAAACAAAGAAAATATTTGTTTTATACTTATTTAAATCTTGTAGCTTCTCATAATTTCGTAAAAGTAACTTATATTTTAAACCTTCATATACATTTTACAAAAAAAAATACGGCAAGTTTTATACTTATTTAAAATTTGTAGCTTCTCATAACACAAATTATTATTTCGTAAAAGTAAATTTATATTTGTAGCATTCATATACATATTTTACTAAAATAAATACGGCAACACTGTGACGCCAGTGCCTTGAGGAAAATATATTTGGTTAGGTTAGACTGGTTAGAGTGCCCGCAATTGCGAAATGCCCAAATAACTTCTACTTTGAGTCTAAAATTATTAAAATACGTAAAATCAATTAATCAAATGGAAGTAAAACAAGAACTTAGTGAGGAGACATGTAAAATAGAAATAGAGCATAATGACATGGATGATGCTCTTGTCGATGGCTTTAAATGTGAAATTAAGGAGGAATTCAATAGCGAAAGTACATGTGACACCTATAATTATTTAGACCTTAAGGAATATCCGATAAATTCTGAGGTAGAACAGGATGATGTTAAGCTTAACCTATTTAAAGGGAACCAAAAAACTGAAAAAGGTAAGCAAATATTTCGGTGCTTATACCATCTTTTCTACTATCAAAGAATATAGACGCATAATACTAATAATATATTACTTTTTCTGTCATGTCCTATTGATCTTACAGTTTAATTTAAATAATATATGAACTTTTTACAAGGAATATAAAACAATCTTCGCCATGTTCAATGGTTCCTTAAAATAATTCATAAACTTCAAATTGGGTAAAATCATTGTATGTTAAACTTAGTGAACTCATTCGCAAACTGTTTCGCACATTTGGATTTAAAGCCACATCCCTGTTATAGTTGTGCCAGTTTTCAGTATTATAAAATACACAAGGAGATGTTTCGCAGGTTTAGTAAAAATTACCATTTCTATTACTCAAGTTAATGTAACTTAATTTATGATTCTAAATTACTGCTTTGAATTTGTAAAAATTTAAAGCCCAGAGAATTGGAAATTAATTGTAATTAAAATGATGGATTACAGCATAAATAAGTGATGAACTGGAAATGGGAATTCTCTCCTTTTACTTCTATTTTTCATAGTTTTTATATATTTGCAATAAATCCTTTCCATGGACATTATATTACCTATTACTAAGTAATTTATATAATATATTATTGACTCTTCTAATTGACTTTCAAACATAAATATCAAAATTATAGGTTATTCCACGAATATACAACTGTTTTGGATTATTACGACAACGAATATTTTACTGTGCTAGTAGAAGTATGAAAGTAAATTGGTCTAAACAGTATTCCAATAAAATGGATTTACTGTTAGTTTGACACTAAAATTATTTCAGTTAATGTATGTTCAGATAGATGCAAAATTTATTGTGAAATTTAATCCAAAAATAACAAAAATTTTTACGCGAATGGTCCTACAAATAAATACAATGAGTTCTATGAAGCCAAAATGTGTTCATGACATTTGGGTTGGGTTTCCGTGAAATGTAAACACCAAAGAGGCGTGCCAGATTTCTTTCATATTACACTTTTATTACTTTATTAGGTACCTACTACGACTGTAATAAAAAGAAATATACTTTTAATATAAATGAAAAGAAATTGGCAGAACAGTGGTTTGGAAACCAGAAAAAGGATCTATAATTTCACTTTGTTAGTTTTAAATATTTGTTTGATTTAAGTGGATGTACTAAAGTTCCGAAAGTAACATACTGGCTATTGGTAGTTGAAGTACCTAGTCGTTACAGATATTAAAAAGTAACAAACATTTATATACAGTTTCATATATCACCGACTGATTTTAGTTTTAAAAACTGTCCGTATAGAGGTGCCCGGTGAAGAGAGTTGTCTTTAAGAGATAGTTTAGTGTAGTGTATTTGTTTATTAAAACCCAAAACGCCGAGACATGTTTTAGATGTAGACAACTTTATATTTAATGTACTTTCCTATGGTGAAGTTCTGTGAATCTGATGGTTGATGATAGTTTTAGGAGATTAGGAGAATAAGAGAATAAGTAAGTTCTTTTTGTTTTCTTAATACTAATTGAATATTCGACTAAATAAATTACACTATTTCATCAACTAAGTATTGTTACACTTCATTTAAATTACTTAATTCAAAAACCAACTTGTTTACAATACTAAAATCAATGATAGTAATTATATACTTCAAAATCTGAATTATAGCTATTCTATAAACTATCAACTCCATATTTATATCATGACTTCATATTTAAATTTTAAGTCATAACAAAATATTATTAATATATTATATATCGTATTTTAAAAATAGGGAGAATTTACTATTGGACAATTCAGCACATTGGACCATTCAAATAGAGACCTTAAACCTAATTTAAAACAGTCGTATATTCGTGGAATAGAGTATATTTACAATTGCCTATTTCAAATGAAATCTCAAGAGATTATAACTTTTAACAAAAGGAAATTGTTATTGTGTGTTCCTTAAAATTAGAATAAATTATTTTACTACTTAATAAAGTATGGATTGGTTTGACAGTCCTCAATATGGACTGCTTCTTCTTTTTATGTAGTCATGTCTGTTGTAGTTCCATCGTTTTCATAGTTTTTCTATTGATTGTCTTGCTATTGGGGAACTGTCCTTTGTTGTCTTATAGTTAGTAAACTCTATTTGTTTGTTGACATTGACATTCTGCTTATATGGTTGTTCCATTCTTCCCTTCTCTTTTTTACTAAGTCCTTGATATTCTCCACTTTCCATATCTGTCATATATGTGTACTTCTAGCTCTGTCCCATAATGTCTTACCATCAATTTTTTTAAGTGTCTTCATCTCTACTGTTTCTAAGATTATTTTTGTTTGATGGATTGATTGTATATCAGATTTTGTTTCTACCGCATGTCATTATTGGTCTGAAAACTGTTTTTTAAATTCTGTCTTTCATTTCTTTCCTGATATTTTTATTCATCCATATTGTTTCATTCAAACATTCTACTCTACTCACTTGATCATCAACTTCTGTTTTAAGATTTCTGTAGCTATGCAGTGTTATGCGCAGATGTTTAAACTCCATCACTTTACATTGTGCCTTTTTGGCGAAATTATCATGTTAAATTTTTTGGCAGGTATATATAGATGATGAAGCATACATTGTAAATTCTCTTCACTTTGAGAGATTAGTATTGCATTGTCTGCATAGCAGATTATTTTAAGTTGTTTTTCTACAATTTAGTATTCTTTTTAATATCCATAAACTACATTGTGTAGAAGAGGGAGGGGGACTTTGCTTATATACAATGATATACAACAGGAGGGAGGGGGCATTAGTGTACATCTGACATCATTTGGTGTATTTCAATTTGTCGTTGTTGTCTCTATAAGTATAATGTTATGATACATTAATAAATGGGTCACAAATTAGTAGCAATTGCTTTGTCAGCATGAGGGAGGGCCTCAGCTGTAAATGATGCTTTATGACGAAGGGGAAGGTTGGAATTAAAAAGTCCAAATTTTTTGACATAGTTTATGGATGTTCCATATATTATGCCAGTTTGTTGTATTCTAGTGATTTCTCTTGCACTTGCCTCATTATCAATAGAGCATAGGTGCATGATCTTGCTGATTCTTGTTATTCTTCTCTGGTTGTTAATTTTAGTGTACTATTATTTTTATTCAGTTTTAATAGTTATTTGATCAGATCTGGTCTTCTGTACTGTAGGAGTTCATTCGGTAGTCTGGCCTCTCCTGATATTTTTCTATCTATTAATGTTCTTAATGTTTTCTTTATCTCTTCCTCTTCAATGTGTATTCTTCATTTGTGATCACTTCTGGTATTAACAGTTCATTATCATTCTTCTTCTACGGTACCACAGAATAATGGAATAATAAACAACCAGAATTCCCACTCTCAGATGCCGCCTTTGAAGTTTTTCAGCACTCGCGCCATTTTTTAGAAGGAAACACATAACATAGACATATGATTTGTGAGGTTATGAAATTGTTTATATTTATGTTTAGTTATATTATATTTTTGTTATTATTTAACAATGTTAATATAATTGTATAGTATGTCTATGATTGCCGTGAGTCAATTAAACCGGGTTAATTTTTCTTTGCACACCACATAAACAACACTGTTCCGTCTAAAACATGGCGGAACGTCTGCACGAAGGAGATGCGCGTACTTAATTTTCCATGGGGAGTGGGCATTCTGATTGTTTATTATTCTGTGACGGCACTACAGCCCAAATTGAGCCTTGGCCTCTTTTATTTTTTGCCTCCACCCTTGCTTGTCTGTAACTGATCTTCTCCATACACAGACTCCTAAAAGGACTTGTATGTCACTGTTTGCTGTGTCTTCCCAGCGCTTTCTTGGCTTTCCAACTGGCCTCTTTCCCTGCATTCTAGCATTCAGTGCTCTTTTTAATAGCCTCTCCTCTCCCATTCTTATCACATGTTCGGTCCATTGCTATCTTTGTATTCTGACAGTGGTGCTTCCTTATAAAGTTGATAAAGCTTGTTGTTGTATGGACTTCTGAATTTTCCCATTTTCCCTCACAGGTTCTAGTATTCTCCTCAGTACTTTCCTTTTGAATGTATCGAGTTTGGTTTTGGATGTTTCTTTCAGGACCCATGCTTCACTGCCATAACATGCTATGGTTGATTTTTATTTTCATTACCCTTAGCAAATTATAATAAAAATAATATACTGTATACTAAATATAGTCAGAGGAAAGGTTCAGCCTGTAGGTTTCGATATGCAAGATAGCCAAAACATTGGGGCAATGGGTGAAAATGGTATTTACAAATATCTCGGAGTATAGCAAACACAGAATATTGACTATAAACTAATGAAAACAGAACTAACTTCTGAGCTTGTTCGAAGAGTAAGACAGCTTTTGATAGTGAGATTTGATAGTTCAGTTTTTGATAATTTGTGGAATAGACAAGTAGCATGTAAAAGTCTTCTCTTTTTCATGCTCAACAATTTACGTTTTAATTTGTGGGAAATAGACTGGTGTCTTCTTACATCACAGATCAGATCAAGACATGAATTTTGAACCAGCTGAATTCTTCTCTTGTCATCTGAACTAATAAAGGCCCATACACATCACCATAGTTAAATTTTGATAAATCTAAGCTTTCACACAGTATTCTTTTTTACTTTGCTTATATATGGATCGTTATAAATAGGGATCAAAAATAGTTTATCCTTTTCCTTCTGAATTTGTCTTGTTTTATGAGTAAGCTCATCTCTTTTCTTTGTCCCCTGATCATAATCTAGATTTTTCAGTCTGTTTGTTAATCCCCAGTAAATTTCTTTATTTACTGGGGAGTTTATCTTTGTTACAACAGAGTCCAGTACAATGTTAAATAGTAGGAGAGATAAAACATTTGCTGTGTTTTACTCCATTTAGAATAGGTATTAGGTCAGATGTAGTGTAGACTTTCTGTCTCATTGTAGAGTTCTTTGATGAGTTTTTTTTGGTATTCTTACTTTCTATAGTGCTTTTCATATAGCCATATGTGTGAGTGTATGGCTTATTATATATATATATATA